TAAAATAAGTTTTAAATAAAAAGGTCTTAGCCTGGTGCTGAAAAACAAATAAAGATGGTGCCAGGCGGACCTCTCTGGAGAGCGCATTCCATAGATGGGGCGCCACCGCAGAGAAGGCCCTCCTCCGGGTACTCACCCTCCTAATATCATTCACAGAGGGTTCCTGGAGGAGGGCCTCTCCCGCAGATCTCAAGGGGCGGGCGGGCATATATGGATGTAAGCGCTCCTTCAGGTAACCAGGACCCAAGCCGTTAAGGGCTTTATAGGTCATCACCAACACCCTGATTTGGGCCCAGACTTCAATGGGAAGCCAGTGAAGCTGATGGAGGACTGGAGTCATGTGAACATAACGCCCAGTCCCCGTCAGCAGCCTGGCAGCTCTATTCTGCACCAATTGAAGTATCCGGACCGTCTTCAAGGGTAGCCCCACGTAGAGTGCGTTACAGAAATCTAATCAGGAAGTTACCAGCGCGTGTGTCACTGTCGCCAGGCAGTCATGCTCTAGGAAGGGACGTAGCTGATGTATCAGCCGAAGCTGAAGGAAGGTGCTCCTCGCCACCGCTTTCTTGCCTAGCAATATTGAGCGTCGCCAGTTTGCTGACTTGATGCTCTTGCCAGATTGATACCTCCAACCTTGACCATTTGTCTGTTTTTTAATGACCTTGTCACTGGATTTGACCCAGCCAAATCAGGAGAACATATGTTAAGTTCCTTCCCTTTCCCACCTAGGCCGGGATAAGCTTGTGCCACAAAAGCTCATTTGGAACCAGAACAGGAAAGGTTGATTATCAAATGCAAATCCAGCTCCAAAACCTCAAAGTTACTGAGGAATCAGAGGCAGTTTGTTATCCTCCAGATGAGAGAATCCCATCCTAGTGAAGCCCTTAAATGTGGCATTGCAGGTGGTAATTCTATTTGCCTTTGTTAAACTGCTTCAAATAGAGCAACATTTGCTAATATGTAATTTCTGGTTTGCTTTCTTTTCTTATTTGCTCAACTTCTTTTTGCTGCACCAAACCAAAAAAATAATAATGGGAAAAGTCAGATGCTTGAATAAAAGAGTAACAAATTGTTTAAGCCAACCCACTCTTTTTTAAGGAGATACTCTCAGTAGTAGCTTAATACCTGAAAACTCAGGTTCCCGTGGTTTTATTTATTTATTTAGGCAAGCTACTCAGATTTCCACAGCTGAGTTTAGTCTATCTAAAATAGTTTTGGGGGGGGGTTGGTTTTTTTAACACAGGTGTCTGATACAAAGAAGAAAGAATCAAGGCAATAACTCATTTGTATGAACTGCGATTTCTGCAGCAATGTTTCTTTTGATCAGTCATCTTCTTGGAATGGGACCATCTGCATAAGGATAACTGACAAACACACACGAAACCCCTGCTCAGTGTCATCTCAAACAATCCCTTTTTCCACAAATGCCTTTTACTGAGACTTAAGTACAAGATGATTTTGATTACAAATCTGGTTTCTTAGTCTTTGAACCTCCTTCTATGTACAACACTCACAGCTGACCTAAGCGATACAACATTCAAGCTCTCGTAAAGTCAATAAATTCACACTACAGGAGAATTAAAGGATAATTGGTTTCATTTCCATATTAAAATACTTCCAAGGCATATTGTCAGCATTTTAAAAAATTCATAACATTTCTCTGAATATGATCTTGAGCTTCAAAGACAGAATACAAAATGAAGGATATTAAAGTTTTCTCTTATAGATTCTTCACCCCAGCCGTCTCACTAAGGTTATACCTTTTATCTACAGTTCCCTGATCTTCCAATATCTGGATGCATTGCGGTGAGGGTGAGAGAAAAAAATGCACATTTAAGAATAACCCCCCATTTTTCATCTGCAAACAAAAATATGAATGTGCTTTTGTAGCAGAAGTCTATGTAGGCAGCATTCACCCTGGAAGTCCAGCAGAGTCCTTCAGCGCCTAAAGCCCTTTGGTCCAACAGATTGGGGCTGCTCCGGGAAGCTGAGCACAGGTGCGTCAAGGTGGGCTCTTGGCAGCCCTGTGAGTGAGTTAGAAGCTCTGGAGGAAGCCAGTAGTCAGGACTGAAGGGGAAACCAAGAGGTGGGAGCAAGCCAGGAGACGGTCGAATGTGCAAGATCAGGATTGGGCAAACATGAGATCTACATCATTGAGGTTCCCCCAGATTTTCTCTCTTTTGCTCTAGTTGGCATTCCTGAATGCAGTTTTTAAACAATTAATTGAAAAATAGGCATTTTTTTACATTGGCATTTTTTTCAGTCAAAAAGGCAGAATCATAGAAGTGTAGAGTTGGAAGGGGCCAGAAGGCCGTTGAGTCCATCACCTTGATGTTGCAGGATGCGAAGTTATACCATCCCACTCAGAGGACTATCCAAGCACTTCTAGAATATCTCAAGTGAAGAAGAGTCCACAACTTCCCCAGAAAGAAGGTTCCATTGTTGTACTGCTCTGACCGTGAATCAGTTCTTCCTGGTGTCTGGTCTAAATCTGGTTTCTTTTAACTTAAGTCCATTATTCTGTGCCCTGCACTCTAGAATGAGCATGAGGTGATCCTGTCCATACATGTATTGGTCCTGTAGCCTAAAGCATAAATTTTGGAGGGATGCGTGCACATGAATGATTGCACTTTTGCAAGTGCACCAAGTCTATTTATTTTTATTTAGTCATTGATTGGTTATACCTATACATTTTGTGCAGGAATTCACAAGCATTGCCAATATAAAGGGATCTTCATGTGTTATTTGGACCTCCCAAATGTAGGTGGTAATGAGGGTGCATGTGTGAAAGAGGAAATGTGTGGGGGGCAGGAATTTGGAAATGGTAACAAAAAGGATTGGAACTCATGATCGGTGCATAATGCATGCTTTAGCTTTCCTTCTTATTAAACTCTTAAATATTTCATCAGAATATGAAATATTAAACCATTTTTCTGAACTGTGAAGAAAATGTCGGAGGAAGTGTTTTCTGCTTAGAAATCTTCCTTCACTTCATCCCAAAGAATTAAAAACAAGTGAGGGTATGCTTCCTTGCAAGTCTCCCCACACACGTATCTGTACCCCACTGCATTTTAGGGAGGAGGACTTCAGCGAGGAAGGGTGGCTCTTTCAGTGTTTCCTCTGGGAAAACACATTGGGAACCTCCAGCCTGGGGGTCTAATCCAGTCCAGGGAAGTTGACCCATTGCTCTGCAAGGCCCATCCCCTGGAAGCTCAGAGGACTAGTAACTCTGCTGTTCTCCCTGACTGGGAATAACAGCAAGGATTTTGGGATGCTCCTTGGTTTGCCCTCTCACGTTCCCAATTGGGATGAGTGCCATGCTAAGGGATTCTGCTTGCCCTGTGTTCTTCCCAACAGAGGTAGGTACAAGGTAGGCAAAGCTATCCCTACCGCTAAAGATGGGGCGCAGTCTTGGAAAGTGAACTAGACAGAGAAAATAAGAGACTGGAATGTGGCACAGAAATATCAAGGTTACTTAGCAAGGCTTCTTAGAAAGCTCCTGAGAACCAAACTGCCTCAGGTCTGGAGGGTACAGGCGAGAGACCCTGTAAACAGATTTGAGGAGGAGGGGTGTGAATTCATTAACTCAGGGAGCTGGTGTCACATCAAACAAGTGGCCCCATCTAGTAATGTCCAGTTGTGTGGCCAAAAAGCAACAGTGAAAACCTCCCTGAGGGTGCAGCCAAGCCTTTTGGGAGGTCTTCAGTTTAGAATCGGCTCTGCACATGGACATAAGCTGCTCCCATTAACTCAAGGGAAGGTTACTTTGATGGATGTTACTTGAGAAGAAACTTCTTATGAAACTATCTGTACCACAAAGAAACTCACCAAGCTTTGACTGTACATTTCAAAGCCTTCCATGTAGTTCTGCTGGAAGGGGAAATGGGGAGAGATCTCCCACAGGAATTGGATAGAGATACATGGCCTTGCTACATACCAACATCATCCATCTCACAGCTGATGCCTCCCACCCAAACAGAAAGACCCTTAATGGTGAACAGAAGGGCCGGTTTGTAGGATCTTGGAGAAGAATGTTTAAGCATGGCATTGTGCGGGTTGTTATAAACTGTCCAGAAAGCTTTGGCTCTGGGCTAGTACTGAAATGAAATCAATAGTAAATAATCATTTCTACGGTTTTTCAACTGCATTTACATATTAGCTCAGTAATGGTATGCCATGACTAGCCACTACAGAAATGAGAAACAGAAGGTGATCATGAGATTTGAGTACTTTCTTTTCAATAAAAGGCAGGAGCAAGACAGAAGTTGATTCCAGTTGGAACATTTGCTCCCATTGGGCCATCCAATGACTAACAACAGGTTAAGGACAATCCAAATGAAGCAGTTGTTCAAACAAAACAGTTCCCTAGCACAAGAAATGGAGTTGTTCTCAACTTGTATGTCTTTTTCGAAAGGATTAGACAAATCCAGGTTGGAAAGGACTATTCATGCCACCATGTTTAGAAACACTATACGAAATAAACAGAGGCTACGGCAGACAGAGGAGGTTTGTAGTTTCATGATGCCCTGACTTTTAAATTTCCCAGAGGGATGTGGCTGCCCACTGTGTGTGGAGAGCAGAATTGTTACCTAGGTGGACCTGTGGTCCGATCACACACCTAGCTTGGGTGCTCTTAGCGAGGAAGACTGACCTTCCACACTTCATCATACTAAAGCTTGGTTGTGTGAACAAAGGCAAGACACTGCCAACACAGGATCCAAGGAACACAAGGCTCTTATCTTGCTCATCGGATTCCTACAAATGCGGGTCTTTCTACCTGTGGGACAAGTCACCATGGCTGACAGGCCAAGTCGACATGGGTGATGTATCATGGGTGACATATGGAGAGAAAGGCATGGGAGATCACAGCAGTGTTTGGGACTCATCACGGTTTCTGCCAGGAGGACACTGAGGTGTGAGCACAATGGATCATGGATGGTCACAGCACACAGATGACAGATCTGGCACGCGTATGTGCCGAACAGAGCAAGGTGTGTTACCTTGAGGGCATTAACCACGGCTTCAGGCTGCTGAGAAGCTGAGGAGGCCTGGTCATTGAAGCTAGCTGGGTGACTTGCAGAGCAGACTTTCCCATCTACCTCTGATGGCATCCTAACGGGACCCTTAGTAGAAAACCAAAAACTATTTAATAGCGAAATGTGCGCCATACTAATAAAAGAGAACAACCTCCCACCCGTTCTTCTTCGCTTCCATTCCCTTCGGCCATGTACACACACTGAAATTTATTGCACTCCACAGCCTACATCAACCGTGCCCTTGTAAGATGTGATTTTCCTCTGTAAATTGGTTCTGCAAGAGGCACCTGCAAGTTTTTCAGGTATGGTGACATAGCTGAAGCTTAGGGAACCAGAATCTCGAGCCCCGGTCTAGAGAAAGGTAAGTTGTGTTTAAGGGCTAAACCACCCAATGAGTTAATGATGTGATATATAGCATGTTTTACTCCTGTGTAAAAAAAGATCAGGATCACCACACACAGGTGTGGGGATCTGAACTTTTCTATCTGTCTGCTTTCTCTTCCCCTGAAATGCACACCACCCCAGGCAGGAATTAAAGAAAGTGGGGAGCAATTCATTGGCACCAATGAATTCCTCCTCCTCCTCCTCCTCCTCCTCCTCCTCCTCCTCCTCCTCCTCCACAATTGTGGCCCTGTGCTCAGCTGCTGTGAAAAAGGCAAACTCCATGCTAGAACAGAAATTCGGAATAATTTGACATAATTTGGAACAGAACAGAAAATAGAACCGCCAAGATCTTACTCCCCTTGTACAAATCCTTGGTAAAAACACACTTATGTTGTGTCCAGTTCTGGTCACTCTGCCTGAATAAGGATGTTATTGAAGAGGAAAAAGTACAGAGAAGGGCACCGAAAATGATCAGGTGGCTGGAACAGCTCCCCTGCGAGGAACGATTATGACAACTGGGACTGTTCAGCTTAGAAAGAAGGCAAGGAGCAGAGACATGACTGAGGTGTTTCAAATAATGGGGAAAGTGGAGAGGCAGGCATCTTTCCCCTCTCCTATAACACTTGAAGCTGGGGTCATCCCACAAAGCCAACTGGGGGAAGGTTTCGTGTTAAAAAAGGTAGCACTTCTTCACACCATGCATAATTAAACTATGGAATTAGCTGCCATGGAAGTGGCGATGCCCACCAATTTGGATGCCTTTCAAAGGAGATCGGGGGGGATTCATGAGGGAGGAGGCTCTCCGTGGCTACTAGCCTTGCTGGCCAGGTGCTCCCTCCTTCACCAGAGGTGGCCTGCCTGCATCCCCCAGTTGCTGAGGAGCTTGGGCAGGTGGAGGTCTTGCACCCGTCCTGCTCGGGGGATCCTGTGAGCCACCATGCATGTGTGAGTGCGGAACTGGGTGGACCTTGGGTCTGACCCAGCATGGCTTGTCTTATGTTCTTCCATGAGAGAGGAGGAGACATGACTGGGAGGGAAGGGTTACCCCCTTGGCCTGGGGATGAGTGAACACACCATGCTGAGGTTCATTAAAGTTCTCTGGAGTCTTCCCAGAAGCTCATTTTACCTCATTTGTGTTTCTATTTTAATCAGAAAAAACTGCCATTTCCCCCATTTTACCAGATCCAAATAAGCATTTTCCCTGCATAGCCTAAAACCCAGAGAGTGAATGTTGGTACAAATTGCACCCTTGCTCATGTTCGGGGTGCAAATGGGGCATTTCTGCGTGATTTGCAAAATTTCCTGACTGTATCCTTGTGCTGTGCACCCAGACCACATGCTCCTCCGCTTTTTAGCCCCTGCACACGGAAACACTCCTCCCCAACCCACCATCCCAATACGGACAATTGGGGCTGGGAGTGAAAGACGCCTCCCCTGTGCTTTGGCTAGGCCAGTATCTGCCTTAAGTATTTCCCCAGATGTTATGCCATGGTGTTACTCAGAGGGATTCTGGCAAGGGGAGAATGGTGATCAGAAACAATCAGTAAAGAGTCTGCCCTGGGGAGAGAACTAGGCTGGAGCCCTGAAATGTTGACGATCAAGGCAATGATCGTGAGGTCAGCTGGGAACAAACACTGAGAAAGATCAGTGTTGTTGGGATGGAAAGTTCACAAACTTACAACAAATAGGAAGAACTACAGGAAAAGCTGGGAGCGCCACGGAACTGAGGCAGAGGTGCTAAGGAAGCAGGAAGGAGAGAGGGGGGACTTCCCACACATACACGAGACAGGGGGTGAGATATGGAAGCCCTTCAATTTCACATATGCATTCAAATGTATGTTTCCATGTGGATTCTGTGAGGACTTTAGGCCTGAAACACCATGGACATGTTTGCACACAACTTCTAAAATAAATTTCAGGGTTCAATGCCGTAAGGCACAATCTTATGTGAGTTCAGACAGAAAAATGGCCTACAACTCCCAGCATGCCCCAGCCAGCCACCTAAGCACGCTTAAACCTTCTGGGAACAGCTCCACCTGGCCCAATCAGCTGCTGAGAGCGAGACAAGGAAGGGGCACCTGTGGCAACAGGCTTGCTAGCCAACTGGAAAAAGAGAGGGTTTAGGAAACTGGCACACCAGTCCCCCCTTTGTGCCCCTGTAGCCATGATGGTGTTATTAGAATGATCTGCCCCCAAAGACTTTTGGATCCAGTTGGTTTCCAGTCAACCCTTGGAGGTTCTTTGGCCAGTTCTGCCAGTGGTCCTGTCATGTCCCTAGCCACAAAATGGAATCAGGATTTGATTGGGCTTTAGACACAATCACTCCTGAGCATCCTCTGTCCTGCTTCCAAGAAAGTTCCCTGGTATACAAGGCAGCTCCTACATATAAAGCAGGAAGGAAGACACCTGGAGTGCCGACGGTGGAACTCTAGACTCATCTCCAACAAAACACTGCAGACAGCATCTTCGCTTCTGTGGGGTGGAGGAGATACATGCAGTGAAGAAGGGTTTCTTCTCCACTCGTATTGCATCGGCAAATTCATGTCCAGCAAAGCTGTTTAGGGTGGTAAGGGATGTGTCTTAAGTCCCAATGTCCCCCTAACCTAACTTTAGCACCATCGGTTGCTCACTCTGGTGCTTCTAGCAACCATTTTGCAAATAAAATTTCTCAGGTAAGAGCCCAGCTTGATGTGATTGTGGAGGATTGACACAGATACCACTGGCTCCCGATTGAAGTCCGGGCCCAATTCAAGGTGTTGGTTATGACCTATAAAGCCCTCAACAGCTTGGGACCTGGGTATCTAAAGGAACGCTTGCGTCCATATATGCCCTCCTGCCCCTTGAGATCAGCAACGGATGCCCTTCTCCGGGAACCCTCTGTGAAGGACATTAGGAGGGTGAGTACCCAGAGGAGGGCCTTCTCTGTGGTGGCACCCCATCTATGGAATGTGCTTCCCAGAGAGGTCCGCGTGGCGCCGTCGTTATTTGTTTTTCGGCGCCAGGCTAAGACCTTTTTATTTAAAACTTATTTTAATTGCTAAATTATTGTATTAATTAGGATTTTAAAATTTTTAGCCGAGAATGCACCGGGGGTTTTTAAATGTTTTTTTTTCTTCTTTTAAATTGTTATATTATTATTATTTATGTATGTTTTTATGTATTCTTTGTGAGCCGCCCCGAGGCTTTGTTGCGATGGGGGCGGCATAGAAATGTTTTAAATAAATAAATAAATATCCGACAACTCCGTGAATGGGGCTATCCTGCATCAATTTCAATTGGAAAGCCCCGATGATGTTGACAGGCTTCTTGGACTGATGAGAAAAACCACCTGACCTCTCAATTCATGTCCCTCTTCACTGGTAGTCCAGTGGGTGGCCGCGAGAAGGCAGCTATTACGCAACATCATCAAGGCCCCCTTCAGAGGGGTACGGATCCTGCCTGCCTGAAGGAGGCTGTTGTGCAGCCCCTGCTCGAGAAACCTACTTTGAACCCCTTAGATCTTAACCACTTTGGACCAGTATAAAACATACAATTTCTTTTTAAGGTGATCGAGAGAACAGGCTCTACCCAGCTCCAGGCAGTCCTGAGTCATACTGATTTTCTGGACCCATTTCAAACCGGCATCATATTGTGACATGGAGCTGAAACAGCTTTGGTTGCTCTACTGGATGATCTACAACTCAGAATTGGCAGGGAGAGTGTGTTGGTTCTGTTGGATCTCGCAGTGGCCTTCAATACTATCAGCCATAGTATCCTTCTGGATCATCTCAGGGAGTGGGAATTAGAGGCACTGCTGCAGTTCTAGATGCTGATGCTTGGAGGCGGCTGCTCCTCCAAACAGGAGATGACTTGAGGAGTACCACAGGGCTCCATTCAGTCTCCAGGTGTTTAACATCTGCATGAAGCTGCTGGGAGAGATCATCTGGAGGAGTGGCGCTGGTTGTTATCAGTATGCTGATGACACCCAGATCTACTTCTCCTAAGCATCACCTGCTGCTCCTTCTCAAGACAGCATCTCTTCTCTGAATGACTGCCTGGGTTTGGCTATGGGCTGGATGAGGAAAAACTGAAGTTGAATCCAGACAAAATGAAGGTGCTTGCAGTTAAGGGTCCAAATCCAGGATCAGAGATTCCAGATGGGGTCACACACACCCTGAAAGACTGTTCACGGTCTGAGGTGCTACTTAACCCAGTTCTTCCGATGTAAACTCAGATAGAAGCCATGGTCCAGAGTATCTGCTATCAACTTTGGTTGATTTGCCAACTATGGCCCTTCTTGGAGGAGAATGACCTGAAAACGGTAGTGCACGCATTGGTAACTTCTAGGCTCGATTTCTGCAATGCACTCTACATGGGGCTTCCCTTGTTCCTACTCCAGAAACTGCAACTAGTTCAAAAAATGGCAGCCTCTGGGACACCATGGAGTGACCACCTTTCACCTGTTTCAAGTCTTTGCACTGGTTGCCAATACATTTTTGGATTCAGTACAAGGTGCTGGTGACTACCTTAAAAGCCCTTCATGGCTCAGGTCCCAAATACCTTCAGGAGTGCCTTTGCTCATATATTCTGCCTTGCCAGCTCAGGTCCTCTGGGGGTAGTCTGCTTCTGTAAGATTAATGTCAACTACCCAGAGGACTTTTCCAGTGGTTGCCCCTAAGCTGTGGAATGGTCTGCCAGGAGGGATACGTTTGATTTCCCAAATT